TTAATATAGTTTTAGGGGCGGTGGCGTCAGCGGTCGACGATCCTGGGGATGTAATGGCGTCTTAAGTCCTCAGGGGTTCTCAACTCCTTCCTAAAAAAGCCATTTTTTACTGTGAAATTTGAAAATTTTCTGTTTCTTTTTTTTCGATAGATTCTAGATTTTTTTTCTGCGCATGAAATTTGTTGAAATTACTTACGAGAGGTGTCATGCACTGTTAGAGACTTGTCGCAATTTCATGGAAAATGTGGTAGTTATTCTCATGAGAGTGACATTGAATCCGATTTGGGGGGAAAATAGTTATGAAATTTCAAGTTTTAGGCAGAATTCAAGGAATTCATGAGATTTCAGAGGGAATGAGATGGAATTTCACAACTTGATTGCATTTTTAATGGAACATGAATATTCGGAGACAAAATGACATGAATTTTCCATTTTTCCCAGAATTTTTTCCGGGCATAAAATTAGTAGAAACTTTTACCCAACTATTTCCTCTTCACTTATTCCAAACAAGAAAACCTAAACGTAAATTGTGTTTTGCTAAGTGTAATTTATGCTGTCAAATGCTTCCCAACGAAACCACTGTAATTGTTGATTTTTACGATTTTTAATATTGCCTGGAAAGGACGTAGAATGTCATGGAACGTGAAGATATATAATGTTTTTAGAAAATGTGTGTATGTATGTCCGGATGTGGGCACGGAGAGCAAAGCTGGATAAAAATTACCTCAAAAATCATGACAAATTTTACTATACGAATGGTAATCGTGGAACAAGATGGAATTCAGTGAAAAAATACTGTTTTTTAGCGGATATCTTACGATTTTCTCTGTAAAAAAATACATCTGTGGATGCAAAAATCATCCTCCTGTGTAGTAAAATTTCTCACACCAGCAGGGGATTGTTTGTTTTGTACCCGTCTGAAGGTTATGGGAATGGTCGGAAGTGAATTTTTACCAAACGGGTTCGCTAAAAATCATTCTCTATGACAGAAAAATTATACGAAAAATTTGAGAAATTATGCACGTTTACTGGGATAATTTTTATAGGATACAGGGTAAATTTTACAGTTTCGGTACAAATCACCCTCACCTTTAGTGAATTTTCCCGGGCCAACTGAGTAAAATTTGATATCAATCTCGCAATTTTTTTCCTATTTAAGGTGAAAAAGTACTGGCAATCCAGGTTGCTCCACAATTACTTGACTTGTTTGGTAATTTTTCTTCAACTTCTTTCTCCGTGCACTCTCTACATATAGAATTCTACAACTTTATGATAGAAATTGTCGTTTGCTCATTCCGATCGTAAGGAAGCCTGTACAGAAAATTATTTTATAGAAAAAATCAATAGAATTTCAACTTTTTATGCAACTTCTTCTACACTGTTACAAAATTTCTCTTGAAATATCAAGTGACAAAGCTTGAAATTTTCAACAATGACAAAGTTACATGAAATTTCTGTAGCATTCTTCACTGACGAATTAGTTAATTTCTTGAATATTCAAGTAATGCTCGATTTTCAGGTCCATACGGCACTGAAAAACCTTGATAATGTTGAAAATTCAGAGAAGTTATTGCCTGAATTTTCAATCTATGGAAAATTGAATTGTATGTGATGTTCAATTTTCACGATGAGTTCGAAAATTCAAGCTTTCATTGTAAAATCAATGATCGTTCAACATGAAAAACCCAATTTTCTAGAATTTTCAAGATGAATGAGAAATTTAGTGAACGTTTTCATTTGAAATTGAATTCAAACTCACAACATTGAAAATTCTGGTGACATTGTGACTGAAATTTGAAGAAATTTCGAGCAGTGTATTGAGACATTTTTTTTACTCCTGGTGTGAAGTCTTGCGCACGCGAATCGTGAGCAAAATATAAAGTTCCGCTCGATCTGACGAAGAATCATTTCTTAAATAAACCTTCGAAAAACTAAATAAAATTGCCCGTCAAAATGTTTCACTGCGACTAACTGCGTCAGTAAAAAATCGCTTTACAAATCGCAACAGAATTTTCCCCGCCTCCGCCCAAAAAATCCCTCGCACCAAAAATCTTCAACAACTCGCGCCATAACATACCTCATCCCCTCCTCTCGAAAGAGAAGCACAGATATGTATGTACTCGACTCGAGAATAAAAAGCGATGGGCAACCTCGGTAGAAGCCTCGGACGGTTCTTGATTTTTACGACCCCGTAAATTCCTTAAGAGCCCCCTGTCTCCCACCCTCCACGCATGCGCCTCTCGTCCCTCCTCCCTCCGCCCGCCCCCTCCCGAGCCCCCAAAAACCCTGAAAAAACCGCAAAACCCCCTTCACCCACAGAAAATAAAAACCCAAAAAAAAACTCAACAACAGAATCGATGGGCTTCAATACGAGATTGAAGGTTTCAGTTAACTAGTTGTTTATGGTTCCGCATGTGGCGCTGTCCACCAGGTTGTACCCCCAACAATTCCGCACAACGCATCGTTTCATTCGTGCGAAACACGTTTGCACAATCGACTCGGGAAAAAAAAGCAAAAAAAAACCTTGAAGTGAAAACGAATGGAGAGGAAAAGTCCATTAACGTTTCGCAAAGGGGAGGAGGTAGAATTCTAGATTCGTGCCTCCCAACACACACATCCAGTGCATTTTTTTCTCCCTCACCTGCACTGAAATCGTGAGATAGTGCGCGAGTTTATATTGCCCGCTTGCCTCTCCTCTATCCTGCACATCCGTTTTGTTGTCATGGTAACGGTTGGGGGCTGGAGCCGCCCCCAGCCACCAATCAGAGCGCCCAGTGGCTAGAGATGAGACAAACGAGGCGACCGTATTTCTCTCTTTTCCCCCCTCCCACGTCCTTGAAACCCCCCACTAGCCGGATATAACGTTTCCCCCACCAGTCAATGGGGGAAACGTTATTTTGGCGGGTCGAGCTTTAACGTTTCACGAAATTTTCAACGGTATGTGAGGTCCACCAACTACTGCGGAGTCTCATTGTGTCGGTGAGCGGGGGAGGGGGGGGGGCAGCTGGGGCTGAGATTCTCGCTTGGGAGGAAATCTTGACCGGGCGTGCCCCGCATCCAGGATATATACTACCACCAATTCAAGAGCTCCCTGTCTCCGACTCTTTCCCTCTTTTCTGAGCTCCGGACCCTGGGATTTACCCTTTACTATTTATCGGACTTTTTCTATTTTTTTTTTCGTTTTATTTTTTCTTTCTGGTTCTGGTTTGGTGAGAACGTTGTCTTATATTTCTTGGGTATGATGGGGGGCAAGGGTGAGTACTCGAAAGTGATTGTATTGGGAATCGGGAATGTGTCGGAGTTGGGATTTTTTGAGGGGGCGGGGGGGATTGTTTGAGTTGAGATGAGAGGTTTTTTTAGTGAAAATATGGGATTCAATGTTTTTTGGGTGGATTGAAGGATGAATTTTGCATGGAGAGAAACATTCAATAAAAATTACGTATCTTTTCCGTAATTCCGGAGCGAAATGCGGTTGTAGGAAATTTTACGGAACTGTCACGGAATTTTTCTAGAGCGTTCCGTAATATTTATCTGAATCTCCTGTGAAAAATTACGATACTGTTACGAGACGTTCATCGTGAATTAGTGGATTATTCAGTGATTCCTCGTTGAGATGTTTTTTTTATTTTAAGGACATTCAAGTATCTTTTAGGGTTTGGAGCACGCTATAGATTCAACCATTCTTAATCATCAAATTTGTCAACAAATTGCGCGAGAAAAGTTTGAAATAAAATCATGAATATTCAGAGTCATTTAAATTACATTTTGCACAGAATTATTATTTTTTAAACTCAAGATCGAAGGCGCGCTCAACATTTTCATTGATTTTATATGATTCATCACGTTATTATTTAAGTTGGTTGAAATCAATGTGTTCTTTCTCGCATATGAATTTTTGTAGTATTACTGAGGAGAAATTCGTGGGAAGCAATGAAAACTTCTATTCAAAATGCATGATTTTTTTTATCGCAAAGGGATGGAAATTTCCATCGAGAATAAATATGAGGCACAGCGAAATCTATCGAAACTTCTGTTAAAAGACCTTGATAAATCCGTCGAAGTCCATGAAATCTTTTTTATTGAGACTCAATACATACTCCGTTGGAAATCGTCAACACCAACATTATCACCAAATCATCATCAGTATGATCATCATCATGTATGCGATTTCTCTTTCAGACATTTAGGAATAAACCTGTGACATCTCCTTTTGATATAAGATTCATTACTTATAAATACATAATTAAAATTGTTTAAACTTTCGAAAACCTCATTTTTTTAGGCATCAAATCCATTTTTGGTAAAATTCTCAACAGTGATGGCCAATAATATTAGATTTTGACAAAATTAAGAAGGATTATCTCCTTATATTGTTCAAAGTTGAACTATATTTAACAAATTTAAAATATTATAATATTTAATAACTAAATTTTTTCCAATTGGTCGTGAATAAAATATTTGATAATATTGAAATGTGATTTTTAGTTGACAAGCTAATTCTGAAATTCAAGTACTTGATTTTCGATTATCCAAATAATCGTCAATCTTCCTACCTAAATTATTGGTTAATAGATTATTTCGAAATTGAATGTACAAATTGATGGTCAATTTAATATTCAAAATTTTTAGGATTTATGTTAAAAATTGACAACTTCACGATTTAACTGTAATTATGATTGATGAATATGACTATCACTGATTCTGAATATGTATAAATTTGTTATAATTCCAACCAAATGATTTTTATGGTGGAAAATTCATTGTTTATAAATTATTTATAGGAAATGCTCGTAATTTTCAAAAACTGCAGTTATAAAAATTCACAAAAAACTTTCATAAAAAATATAATATTTTTCTTCGGAATTCCTGGGGTAGAACCTTCTCCCCTTGGTTATTTTCAGCTTCGGTATTTCAACTCCAACATTTACAACATATTAAGAATTTTACGAATTGAAAACGATTATTTTCACTAATTTGTCTTTTGTTATTTATGATTCCAGGCGAGAAACCCCACAAATGTCAAGTGTGTGGAAAAGCCTTCTCCCAGAGCAGTAATTTGATAACACACTCGAGAAAGCACACAGGTTTTAAACCCTTTGCTTGTGACCTGTGTGGTCGTGCATTTCAGAGAAAAGTTGATCTGAGAAGACACCGTGAGACCCAGCACGCCGAGCTCGGTGTTGCACCAACAGCAAACACCGGTGTTGCACCACACCGAACCTCCATTGGAACAATTGCACCGAGTAATCTCGTAACAGCCAATTCCACGATTTTGCAATAGGTACTCGAGAGATACAATCAGTTGAATTCAGCATCGAAGTGGTAAAACGTAGCTTCAATCAAAATCTCATCTCATCGTCAATTATTTAATTATCCCAATGAATGATGATCATTTCACTATCTCTATGAATTCATCATGAAAATCGAAGGACCTTTTTTGCAGTTGACATAAATTTTCACAAAAAATTCTGATGATTTTTTCTGGATTCATTCAATGCCGAAATGATAGAAAAATTAACGAATTGAGTCAACATCTTGATGGATTTTTTTTTGAGAATTTGATTACCGACTGCACAGCAAAAACAAATGTTTGAATTTCACTCACCTTTTGTAGACATTTTTTCAGACACTAAAAGACGTCTAAATAAAATGAAAATGTGTCTGAATTTCAGACGAACAGGTCCTCAAACATCTTAATTGATGTTTGAAATTCAGACGAATTTTCATTTTATTCAAACGTTTTTTATTCTACAAACGTTTTTTATTGTACAAAAGGTGTGTGAAATTCAAACATTCGTTTTTGCTGTGTGCTTATCTTAATTCAGCAGTTGGCGAATTCAGAACTTGTCACGTGTTTTTTAGAACAATTGTCGCATGATAGGGAAACTGAAGAATTATGATTTACTATCTATTAATAGTTCTTGACGAAACGCAAAAGTGCTTTTTTTGTGGGCAATGGCATGTTCTACGAAGAAAATCTCAATAGATTTCCCCCTGAATGCTAACGTTATAAATCAAAGCAATTTTTCACGCGTACACTGTTGGAAACAATTGAATTTCATAAACAGCTATACAAGAAAAGAAATGAAATTTCATGGCCAATTGACTATTAATTTTCAGGACAGTGAGACCGCGCGCGATTTAGGGGGAAAAAATCATGAAGTTTCAGGTTTCACTGAAAATTCAGTAAAATTCCAGAATTTTAAGCAGCCTAAAGACGAGAATTCATTAATTTATTTGAATTTCCAATCTAATATGAATATTCAGTGCCAAATTACGTTGAATTTTCAGAGAAATCTAAAATTTCATGATTTTTGCTCCCTAAATCGCATTCAGTCTCGCTGTCCTGGAAATTCAAGAATATCTTTACCAGAATTTTTTGGTTTTCCATTCATTTTCAGGGAAAAATGGAACGGAAATTTACAGCTCTCTTTAATTTTTCCTCGAAATTCTGAATTTTCAATGACGAAATTCCTGGAAAATTCAGTGGTAGTTAAATTCGTTAAAAATTTCCAAAAAGTGTACCGGAAAATTCAGATAACAATTTTTACGTGTGGTAGCCATTTTCGATGGCGATGTAGAGTTTGATTTAGGGGGAATAAATCATATTGTGCAATATCAGAATTCCCTAGAAATGCAATGAAATTAAAAAAATTCTGAACAGCAGAAAAACGAACATTCCTCGACTCACTTGAATTTTCAAACAGAACATGAATATTCAGGACGAAATTACGATAAATTTTCAATTGATTGAGAATTCACGAAAATATTTTTACCAAAATTTGCCTGATTCGTATTGATTTTTTGGAGTAATTCAACGGAAATTCACAGATTCCATCGATTTTTCCATTACACTGTGAATTTTTCACGTCGAAACTCCCTGAATTTCAGTAAAATAGTCACTGGGTAAAAAAATGTATCAGAAATTTCACGCTGTTAGAAAATTACTCCTGACGTAACAAATTAACAATCACTCATTCACACCGAATGTTCACGTATTTTGTTATTGAAATATAAATGTAATTCTGTAGGATTCAATCCCCTGAAAATTCATTTGGATGTCATGCTCGATTTCGGCAATGAATTTGACAATTCTAGACGTCATTGAAGTACCAGTGATAATCTACCATGAAAAACCTAATTATTCTGAATTTCCAACTTGAAAGAGAGATTCCATCAACGATTTGATCTTGAATTGAACTCAAATTCACAACATCGAGAATGCCAGTGCAACAAATTCTTAATTGTCAAAAAATTTCTATCAGTGTGGTGATTCAGTGGGGTTGGGCACTGAACTTTTTAAATAATATAATAACAGATATACGAAAAATCTCAAGAGAAATTTTCTGTCAAAAATTTATTCAGCTACAAAAAAAGCTCAATCATTCGTTCCCCAGATGAGTACGAAAATAAAAATACCGAAATTTCTTCATTACGATTTACCACTTCGCCACTAAATTGATAAGACGTGATACATGAACTGATAACGTTTCAACACTTCCCCCCCCCCGAATTGTATCTCTCCCCCGACAACGGAAAACTAATAAGCAGTGTTTGTAAATTAAACATAACTACCCGCTTCTTTCGGTAACCAAAGATTAGTTGTATTTAAATTGTGCATTATATTTTTTCCGTTCCCAGTTGAAAATTCGTGCTGTAATATATCTGCGTAATTATTCGATTAATTAAAGAACTAAAGAAAGGTTAATCATTAGGAATATAAGCGACTGGAAGAAGAAATATTGAAGATTCAATTAAAGTCAAAGAATTGTTGTAAATATCATTAAAGTCAGAAAATTCATTTTAGGAGAAAAAAAATTAGACGCGTCTGTGTATAATTTAAGAATTAATTATATTAATTATTATTGAATGAGAATATATAAATATAAATATGTTGCCAGTGAAAATAAAAGCGGTGATAATGATCCCAAAAAATTCGTGAAACCATCGGAATTCAATTCCATTCTCTAACGAGTGATGAAACAAAGTCTTCTCAATTCTAATTGTTTTATTGATTATTATGTAATTATTGTAATTAGCCCTCGACTCCTCCCACCTGTCTCCCACCCGCTCCCTCTCCGCTATTAACATTATTGTCATTATTATTAATAATAAACGCTGTTACCATTTGTAAAATGTGATTTTTTTTTCTCCTGACTCTTTGTGAAGTACCTGTGTCTTGCGGATTTGCATTGCATCATTTTTGCGGGCTTTTCTCATTCCCTTCTTTTTTATTCTCCTATTATACTTCATCTCGGTGTAGCTTCGAGCTAATTTCTATGCACATAAATTTTCCACTGGCGTATTTAAACTCCTGGGAAATTTGCATAGCACGATAATACTTATGTATTACATACCTTTTCATGAATACTTTTCATAATGTGGAATTGAATTTGCGTCTTTTGTGTTTTTTTTTTTATGAGGAAGAATTTTTTTTTGGGAAGTTGGTCCCAGGAATACATGAGGTGCCTCGCGTGCCAAGAGCCTGCATTTCATGATTTATTATCCTCTAAACTGTGTACCACAGATAGTTGACATTTTTTCAATAGCTGGGGAATATTGTAAACATTATGAAAAACATGGCGACAATGGTAAGAAGAACCTGCTTTCTAGGGATATTCTCCATGGATTTCCGGAAAAAATGTTAAATGACTCCATTTATTGCATTCTCGTAAGTTATTGAGCTTTTCTACACTGATAGAAAAGGTGGAACGATTCAGTTGCACCAAACGAGGCTTCTTAACTGTTACCGCGATTCGTTAATAGTTAACGAATCGTGGTAATCGTTAAAAACCTAGTTTGGTTCGACTAAACCGTTCTATCAATGTATCCTCATGTGTTGTTGATGAAGGCAATAACAACTCATTTGAATCAAATGAGAAATGATTTCACGAAAATTTCTTTTTTTAGAGCTTAATATCGCAGAAACTAATTGCTATAAAATTTTATAAAAAATTCATCGTATTTGGAATTCATCAATCTACCAGGGATTCATTTTATAAGAAGATCGTAAGAACCATTTTCTCATAAGATGGAAAAATCGAGTCGGGGAGACCCATTACCCCCGTTTGACCTACACTGTTAGAAAGTTACTGTTGAAATTTCAAGTAAAAAATCATGAAATTTTTAACAACGAATAATTTACATGGAATTTCCATTGATCTTGTTATTGATAAATCAGTTAATGTTCTTGAATATTCAATGCAATATGTTTTCTTAGGGTCATACGACAATGAAAATTACTGAAAATCATGAAAATTCAAGCAACTTTTCTGCTGAATTTTCAATCTGTTGTTCAATTTTCGCGATAGGTTTGAAAATCCAAATTATCGTTGAACATTCAATGATCATTCATAATGAAAACTTAATTTTATTGAATTTCCAAGATGAATCAGGAATTCCATGAGCAATTTAGCAATTTTCCATGGAAAATTTACTAAACGTGAGGATGATTTGTACCAAAACTGTAAAATTTATCCTGAATCGCATTAAAAGATATGTAATTTTTCTGTAACGGAGAATGATTTTTACCGAACCCGTTTGGTAAAAATTCATTTCCGTCCGACCCCATGACCGTCACGCGGAAACAAAATAAACAATCCCTTGTCGATGTGGGAATTTTTACTAAACAGGAGGATAAATTTTGCATTCATAGATGTATTTTATTCCCGAGAAAATCCTAAGATATCCACTAAAAACCAGTATTTTTTCCCTGAATTACATTTCGCTCCACGATAACTCCGCGATCATACTATATTCTAATTCTATATGCCGCGATCATTCTATATTCTCTTTCGCTCCGCGATTTTACTATATTTTTTCATATAGTAAAATTTGTCACGATTTCCGCGGTAATTTTTATCCAACTTTTCTCTCCGTGTAGGGATATACCTTAATCACTAAACACGTTGATAAAACTCCAGGTCCAATCCTCAAAAGACAAAACGCTGATTAACTTTTTACGATTTCAATTAATCGATTCATAGATTCTCCCCGTCAATTTCTCCCCACCCCCGGAGCACGAGCTCAGTCAAGTAAAAATCGACGATTCCCCGGTATCTTTATCACCATGTTCAACTCTACACTCAGCTCCTCCTCAATCCCAACGAGAGGGGTGCCCGCTCCAGAGACAAGGTGGGATCTGAACGAGTAGTCGTTGCCCGTACTAGTTAGGCAAACTGCCCGAGCGGTTAACGATCCAATATGTTTTCTCTCCCTCAAAGTTCCCTAGTATACGACCGGGACCCTGTACAGCGATTCGGGGGCCAAACGACACGCAGCAATGCTTTCTCATTCACCC